TTTCTTTTATTTAGCAGATTTCGTCGGCGGCTTTGGTTATATGTTGCTCAAGTTTAGGCTTCTTCGTTCTGCAGACATTTTTGGAAACCATGCCTCGTGAAGTCAAAAAGAGGAAATCTCGAAGTCTACATCGTCTACATTTACATCCGCGCTTGACTCTCTTGTTGTGGAAGTTTCGGAATCGCGTCCGTTCTCCATTCTTCTTGGTTACAGTGCGACCCATGGTCGCTCAGAGCCAAAGATCTTGTTCGACGCTGAACCTGTGGGATCCACAAGAGTTTTTGCCTCTTCGGCTTCTACGAAGACGAAAATGGGCATGAAGTTTTCTTGCGTTTTAGTCCTAACACATAGAAAATTCTACAAGAACGAAAGCTAACTTGCGATGAAACAACCAGATCGAGAACAGTTCGCGTGCACAGATGAAATCGCATTACATGTGACAACTGGCGCTGAATTTTAATTAGAGGTGTCAACGCCCCGTAAGGGGTTAATGAGATTCAAAAATAGTTTTTCTCTTTATCTTAAAAAGTAAAAAAGTTTTTTCCCCCATTCTTTTTGCAACATTTTTGCAAATTATTTATCCCAGTCTTCTTAATTGGAAGAGCGAAAAAAAGATTTAACCCATTTTTCGTAAAAAGCCACCTACCATGATACCTGAAGATATGATTGATCACCGCAGTTATGTACACAACAATTAACTTAAGTCATCATGTGAGAGGACATCTCAGAAAACAGACAGTGAATTCTGTGGGTTGTGATTGGTAGATTCCGATCCCTTGTGTTTGCCTTTTTTGTTGGAAAAACATAATCGAAGAGTCTCAATTTCATAATTTCCTGGTGTGTAGTGTTGTAAGTAGTGTGAATCACAATTAAAGTATGAAATAATAATATTAGTAATAACAATAATAATAATAATAATAATGATTATAATAATAGTAATAATAATAATAGTAATTTCCTGGTGTGCGACGAAAACTCACGAGTGAGAAGAAGCAGGGACGATATAGACAATCAAGTGACGCAGATTTACACGGCTCAAGCGGCTTTACATGCACAGATTTCATCTTGGCCAGTTGGGTTCGGAAGATGTCGGAAAAGACGAATGTTTTCCGACGATACCCATCACGAAACATTCATGTAAAGCGCGTGGTAACATCTGCAAGTGAACTGGGCACAATATGAGGAAATAACCTCAGAGGGATTACTTTAACTACAGTCGAACCTCCCGTAAGCGGACACCCCCGGGACCAAGGGTAAGTGTCCGCTTACGGGAGGTGTCCCCTTACCGGACTGTAAATAAAAAATACACTAGAGGGCACTAATGTACCATAACAAGTACGCAAGACCACTTGTAATTGTATTATTCATCAACAGGGTTGTTAGAAGTTGCTTTTCTATTTCACATACAAAAATTTAACACCTATTTAAAACAATTGCCAATTTTTTGGAGGTGAACAGAACAGAGGAACAATGGTTAATTAGTAGCTCGCTTGCGTATAAGTAGTAAATAATTATTACTTTTAATTATTAATTAAGTAATTAATTCAGTAATAATTAATTACTTTTAAGTAATAATATTGACTGATTCAGCAGTCTGCAAATATTCAGCAGATTGGTAATTTGTGAACGCGAGTCTCTGACAGACCAACAAACAACCAATCCAGAGGATTAATGGCGTGTTCACGACTGATGATATACTGAGCTGTCTTGTTCCGGCGAAAAATGTGGCTGTATTTAAAGTTCGTAATATTAGCGCGTTATCATGATCAAATAACAAGATGATCCTTAGCCGGACTGACTCCCAGTAAATATATCGTGTAATACCGGTGATTTGAGACTACAAGTGTACGGTTATTTTGGGGAAATGAATCAAAACGTCCTGCTTTGGTTTAGTACCCTGTGAACAGCAGGCGCTCCTGTTTCGGCCAGGGCCCCAAGCTATAGAGTGTGTTCACTTGACGTCATCAAAATCTCAAATCCAAAACTAAAGAGCCACTAAAGGTTTTACCCTCATCAGGCATGAGAGGTACTAAATTTATATTTGTTTACAACTTTCCAGCTCAATAACGCCCTTCGTTTGGAAACCAGCGCATTTTGAATTTCGGAGTTATGGCCGTGTGTGAAATATAAAGCTAAGATCGTGTTTGACGAAAAATATACACTTATCTTGTGATTTTAAGCCATTTTCGAAATTAAAGTATTAGGAAAAGTGCTTGTGTAAATGTTTTTTGGTTCGGTTGAGATAATCAGTCGACCAGATAGCCAAAGTAAGTTCCAGATGTTTACACTATTTTCCGGCCGCCATATTGGAGGACCAAGGCTCTATAAATTTGCGTGGAATATTTCGACGAATATCTCAACCTTGGGACAACGCACACACCTTATACTTGGAGAACTGTCTTCTATATTTATCGTGTTTAAATTACAATTTCTTGACTTAATCCTCTGAGTGATTTTTGATTTTGTTTTTTAATGCGTGACAATGAACACACTCTATTACTCGCTCGCGATAAAGCCAACGCGACACTCAACCAAGACAGCACCTTCCTTCTATGGCTGATAGTTTGCCACATCTATTTTTGTAACGTTACTGATAGAGGACGCTCCTTAATATTGTTGTGCGCAAGGTAGGATTGAAATCAACAAAAAAATTTTGCTCCCTGGAACGACTATTCACCTTGAAGATTTGCAAGTATAAGTTCTGTTTTACGCTTCCCGTGCGGCACAGATTGTTATCTCAAACTTTACGTTAACATACTCTGTTTCTACGTTGTTGGAAAGCGACCCCTACAAATTTGTTGCTCTCGCAACTCAACGATTGCCTCTACCTCATGAACGTGTGCTAAGTTTGTATTAAACATGATTTAAATCATATTTGCTCAAGCCAAATCTAAGCAATTTTTTTTTTCCCGTCTGTGTTACAAGTTAAAGGCCGATTGATTTTCCAGTAAGTGTCATGGCGATCGAGCTCTCACCTTCCCATCTCCCACTCCCAAAATGGATAGCGCAATAACTGCGCATAAGCACTACGGGAACCGGCTTTTGTGAACAGAGAGCCAAAAGTTCTAACAGTGAGTGTAACATCTTTTATCGTAAGCCACCCAAGAGGAGACAATGGGTATGGTTATAAAGACTTATTTCCAAGGTATACTCGCATAATCTCTCCCAAGTTATTCTTAGATCATGATTGCTCAGAGGGGGCTACTACTCGTAAAAGCTAGATTCTTAATGTAAGACTTTTATTCGTCTTGAACTGACTGGTGGCGATGTATCATCTTCAATACTCAAGACTACTCATCATCTTTAAATAAACGTGCTGTAAGAGTTTTGTGACGATCCCAAGTGTTGCGGGTTTGTTCGCTTTAATGTCACGATAACCTCAATACAAAACACCTCACTCCCGCACCGCAACTTGATAAGAAACGAAAGAAAGAAAAAACGGTGCGTCAATTTATTCAGTGGCGAAATATTTTCGTTTTATTTTGCATGAAATTCTTTGACGGGAACGCGGAGCAGAAGAATGTAAGCTGAGCAGGTATCAGGTGAGTAGAATTTGCAACCTAAGTCATGAGGAAGAAATGTCAAAAACGTGTCCAGCAGTTTGCCCGTTTGGTAAACGAAAAGACACATTTGAAGCGTGATTAATTTTTAATGCAGT